CCTTCCCACCTTTCTTATCCTTATCTTTCTCTTCCTTTCCTCCTTTTTTTCTTCTTTTGCCACACACCTCCATTTCTTTTTCTCATTTAATAAAAAATATTCAATGAAACCTTTTTGTTACTTCTTCAGAGAGGTTTACCATACTCGTCGTATGCAAAGAGTGTTCTGTGTTCGGTTCAGTGCAGACTCAACGTATGTTCTCTCAGGAAGTGATGAAACTAACATCAGGTAGCTTCAACAAAATATAAATATATTCTTTGTAGAAATGATAATCGAGGGAGTACTACGTGATTTGATCTCAGTTTTATTGAACTTTGAAACAACCTCTGGGCAGACCTATGTCAGGGCACTGCTAACTCACAGATTGAATTGCCCTGTTACAACCTCTAGCCAGATCTGTGTCGGGGCACGGCTAACTCACAGATAGAACCCTGAAACAACCTCTGGGCTGATCTAAGTCAGGGCACTGCTGAAGTTCATTACAACTACGCCACCCTTGATTTCCTTGATCACTCTTAGGGTGGAGATTCCCGTCAGAGATTTGACCTATGACCTGCACAGGGGTGAGTAGTGAAAGTAGAGAGGGCTTTAGTCATGAGGCTTGGAAGACTAACAAAATCCTCCTTGCTTGACTGACATTTTTTTTTAAATGACTTTCTTTTTCACATGTCATTGTGTTTTTGATACAGAATATGGAAAGCCAATGCATCTCAGAAACTTGGAGCCGTAAGTAGCTAACAATAAGCAACTTTTCTCATTATGTGAGCATTGTTCTTTATTATACTTCACCATAGTTAGTTGCACACTCAAAAGCACACAACTCAATTCACACGATGTAGTCACGTTTTATGCGACGACCTCTATTAAGATACCAGTTGCCAAAATTCAAAGGAAGGTTTTTGCAGTAATGCCTACCTTTATTAGACAGGCAACCTCTCTATAACTGCCAGATGACGATTGCCCGAGGTGGCTGGTTACTCATCTGGGGTTGTATTTCATTTATGTTTAGTTCTGAATCAAAGCCAGAGCTTTAATTAAAAGTTTCGTTTGTTTTAACCCATGCAGCTTGCCCCGAGAGAAAAGGAAGCTTTTGCATATTCAGCACGTCTGAAAGAGCGTTTTAAACACCATCCGAGAATACGAAGAATTCAAAGGTAAACATGCTGTAGGTGATGTGCATTCCCTTCCGGTGTAATGGGAAAAATAGACTTACAGGGGTGCTTACCATTTACCGGGAAAACCGGACAAACCGGAAATTCATGTTTGGAGTTAAAAAAACAAATGGTATGTGTCAGCCCAATTGCAAAAGTTCCAGAAAACTCGGTCTTCCGATTGAGGTAATCCACTTTTCCCGCTCTTTTCGATTCTTCTGGTAGACGCGTGCACCATTTATCGGAAGTTAAAGATTCCTGCTCTTTTCGTACCATTAGCAATCAAGTTTTAACCGGATGGATTGTATTTAATCTCATTGGTTTATATGAGTGAACGCAAATGTCATATTGAGTAGAATTGATCCATCTATCCCTTCATCCCTCCCTCCCTCCCTCCCTCCATCCAACCACACACTCATTCATATATCCATCCACTTAACCATGTTGCTCTCTTCGTTGCAGACACCGACATGTTCCTAAGGCAATTTACAAAGCTGCTCTTGAGAAGAGAATCATGTCTGAATCACAAAAACGAAAGTAAGTGGTTGGAGTAATTTACACATAACTGGGAAACACACGGTACGACATGCCGTAACGAAACGTACCGTACTGACTTACTGCACGTACACGGTACGACATGCCGTAACATTGAAATGGCTTCCCATAAGAATGGTTGTCGTATGAGTGGGGAACATACGGTATTGACTTACAGCACGTACACGGTACGACATGCCGTAACATTGAAATACCTTCCCATAAGAATGGTTATCTTATGAGAGGGAAACGAACGGTACTGACTTACAGCACGTACACGGTACAACATGCCGTAACATTGAAATGGCTTTCTATAGAGAGAATGGTTCTCGTATGAGTGGGGAACATACGGTACTGACTTACAGCACGTACACGGTACAACATGCCGTAACATTGAAATGGCTTACTAAGTTTAGTTTTTTGTGTTTATTGTTGTTGTATTTAACTTTATCTTTGTTTGTTTAGGGATGAAAATCGTCGTCTTCACAGTAAACCAGGAACAGTTCCTCGCGTTGCTGAAAGAAAGAAACAAGTTGTCGCTGTTGTTAAGTAAAATTCATCATAAATCAAAACTAATTTTATCTAGTCCTACTTTTGAATGTATACAGTCATTACTTTTTCCAATAGCAAATTATAAATTTTTTGTAAAACCATTTAGAAGTGTTTTTGAGGAGGCGGGGGGGGGGGGGGGGGGGGGGGGGGTGTTGGATGGTAAACTGTTCATGCGCACACCGTGGGCTCAAACTGAACGATCAATGGTAGGCCGCATTATGTAAACAAGGAAACAGCTTTTGTCAATATAACTAAAGTTTAGACCCTCTAAAAGTTCAAATTTTACTGATCCACTCCTGAAGCCCCCGCGTTATGAGTTATAATGTAAGTGCCTCACTGTTTGTCAGTCGTTCGCTTGTTTATTTGTTCCCTCGTTTTGTTTATTTGTCAGTCGTTCCGTTTGCTTGTTCGCTCGTTTGCTTGTTCGCTCGTTTGTTTGTTCGCGTGTTTGTTTCTTCGCTTGTTTGTTTGTTTTTTCGTTCTTTTGTATCTTTTTTTTCAATGTTTGTTTGCATGTTTGTTTGTTTTCACTCCGTTTATTTGTCCCCTTATTTATTTGTTTGCACGTTATTCGTTTCCTTGTTCCCTTGTGTTTTTATCCTTTGGTCATTCGTTTGCTTGTTCGCTCGTTTGTTCGTTCGTTGTTTGTTTGTTTGTTGTTTTTTGAGGTCACTCACATTTTATCGCTTTCTAACCAGATAGATAGGCCAAACGCACCAACTTTGTATCTATTTACCAGTTTTTCAGGTTTTTCCGGTCATACAGGTTTTCATCCGGTTTTTTGTGTGCTCGTAATTAAGGAATGTAATTCTTATGACATTGTTGTCGTTATTTTGACCTATCAGTTTGACTTCTGTCAAAATTGAACTATTTTCATTTCTAGCTATCTTTATATCGAAAATTCCATTCTGATATTTTGATATTTCCTTTCAAACGTTTAATTTATAACATCCCTTTACATTGGATCTTAATCATGTTTGTAGTGTTTGGAAGTTTAGGGTAGTGCTAAAATCATCATAACAAGCGTTTAAGTCGATTTAAACTTATATCAATTATGTTTCTATTATTTCTTTCGCAACACCAAAAATAGACCTTTTTCTATAATTAGTTTGAAAGTACTCCAAAGCTCCAAAATGGAGGTTATAAGTTTTCTGCCTGGAATATTCAATCAATCAATCAACTTTAAGAAGGGTGACACGTAACAGTTTTCACTGCCAAAGCCATGGCCCTCCATTTAGGATTTTTTTTTTTTTTTTTTTTTACTATGATCAGAAACACTACGATAACATTACTAATAATCACTAATTCGACGCTTCGTCGAAAACACTCATCACCATCGACTCCATTTATCCCTTCCTGCTTGTCTTGTCATACTATGTGTTATTTTCGTGTCTTGTTGACTCAGGATACAGCCAAATTGTACTATCAACGAAGGAAGTTGTAGAGCTTGTCGAATTTGCTTCTATTTTCCTGTCTTATCTTGAGCTATTTATAAATGGCGTAAATTATGTATGAGTTTGGAAGGTGATGAGAGGGTGGTGGGGGAGGGTGGTGGCTTTGAAAAAAGATATGTCCTTTCGTTACCACGAGGTTGGGGAGAGTTTTCTTATAGAATTCAGAAATCATGTACTATAATTTTTTCATTCTTTCTTTTTTTATTTTTTTTATTTATTTTTTCTTTCTTCGTGTCTTTCTTTCTTTGTGTCTTTCTTTCTTTCTTCCTTTTTCTTTTTTCCGATTCCCGATATTTTTCCAATCATTACTTCAAATTTTTTTTAATTTACCCATCCCTTCACCTTGGTATATCCACAAACATTCTATTCTTACGTGAAATAAATTCTAAGACTTAATTACCACTAGACTAAACACAAATCAATATTTCTTTTTCCCCTACGATAAGCTGTCCAAAAACACGATATTCTCGCTGACTATAAGATTTTATCAACCTTAAGTCCTTACAAATTATTACTAGGTTATCAAGTGGAACCGTCATTAGTGATCTTTGGTGAGGATTGTCGCCGAAGCCGGATGTTTAAACTGACTTGAACTAAGGAAATTTAAGAATGCATTAACTAGTAGTCCAAATGACATCCTTCGCCGCCAATAAACGTTAATTTTATCAGTACATAATTTAGGTTTCAAGGATAATAATCAACGATAGGGTATAGTCTTAAAGTTGATTCATTTATAGATTCTATCAACTATATTTTTTAAACCGGATTTCGTACGAGGTTAAAATTGAACTTAAACGTGACTGCGAAATGGTTTCCGTTCTCAAGCTCTGTGATTGGACGACATAAATTTTGGTGCTTTGTGATTGGTCATTGTGGAAGTCATTTGAGAGCCACGATGGTATCTTTGTTCATCCTGCCCAGTATTTTTCTTTTAAGCAGTTGGCAATTCTTACAACAGAAACGAAGGTATGTAAACAGTCAAATGCTCATTTTTCATATGACAGGTGGAAATCCGCTTAGATAAATATGGGGGGAAATCATTTTAAACCGTAATTTTAATTTTGAACAAATATGTCTTGTACACATTGAAAGATAAATTTAAATACTGCTCTTTTTGCTTCAATTTGCTTAGGTTTTTGAGACATTTCCGAGATTACGTTTCATTCCAATCGCTTTGCGAAAAGTGTATTTTTTTCTGAAGCAACATTCGACCTTTTGGTTAGCTTCGAGTTGGAAGTGTAAATGACCAGCTGATAAGAGTGAGGTTTAAAAAATGCTTCCAAACGCGTTCATATTTCTCAACAATTAACTCGTGTTATTATTACTGCTGAAATAACCTTTCAAAGGAAGAAAAGTATTGTTTACAGAAAGTTGGGTTCATTTCTAGATACGAAAACCATAACTGTAATTGAGAGAGCTTGGGCTTACAGAAGCTAAAAAAGGGTAATGAAGAGAAAGTGAACGGCTTGAAGCTGTTCAAGTGTCGCTTTGTTTAGTTGGCAGTTTGCAGCACCTGCTTTGAACTCCGTCTTGAACAGACCAAGTTTTATAGACCCATTGAGCGTAAGCTTCACGTTTTTTTCTTCACACAAACGGCAAACATGACAACGTTTTCATCGTTTTGCCCTGCATTTCATTTTACCCTTTGCAAACCTCCTTAAATACAACTTGTTTATCTATTTATTTATCTACCACAAGATTTTTTTGTCGTCTTTTTCTCTAATTCTTGGGGAAAAAGATATTGTGAAACGAAATGCTTGATGAAACTCCTACTTTAGATCACGCGTCACCCTCCCGAGAAATGATGATGGGAAGTTCTTGTATAGCGCATTTATACAACATCTCAATGCGCCTTACATTAATAATGACCAGTGGAGGACTTTACGGGCTGTATATTAAAGCGCTAGTAGCAGCCGTGCAGCTTACAGTCATGAGAAATGTTTCTATTTTATCAGAAAACGCTAATTTGAACAAAATATTTAAATGTCTTTGCTTTCATTTTACTCCTTGCCGTTTATCATCTTACTTAATTGCAGAATGATGTCAGTAACATCGAAAAGTCAATTAAATGTGATTATAGTATTCTTTATTAATTATTGTTATTTATTAATATTAAATCGACACGGCCAGTATTAATAATTTCCATTCTTGGTAAAAATGTGAAAAAATCCATTTTACATAACTTTTGGTTCTCATATTTTAAATTTCATATTTTATCAGTGCCCAGGTAATGGCCATACTATCTTAATAATCAAAAATAGCGAAAAACAACAAACAATGACCCTTCTACGGCAGACTCGATACAATAAGTATTTGCCGCCATTTTGAATATTTTATAACTTAACATCTGGTATCTCTGACAAATAGTAGAACAAAGATCACGTGACCTTATCAGGCAAAATATGAAAAGACCAGCAAATGAAGTTTTTCCACTCTTGAATAATATATTTTTATGTAATAAAGCGAACGTTATAGCTTGGTGCGAGAATAAAAATATTTTCCTTCTGGAATTTGTTAAAACTTTTATCGATACAGCTTTTTTTTTTAAATTCAAAAAACGTTCTATACTGAATGCTGTATACTAAATAGTATATTCCAAGACTAAATACATTTTAAGCCGTATGTATTATTATCTTGTAAAATAAATATTCATTTATTTTGTTTTTAGTGCATTCTATCCGGAAAAATATACTAACTACATATAGAACAAATCGCGGATTTGTATATTTAGTTGTTTTTTTTCTTCAAATTAATGAGATCTACAATCCCCTTTATGGTTATGGAATACAATATTCAGTATGCAGTATTCCGTATTCAACATTTTTTGAAACGAGTAACCTCTCTCTCGAATGAAAATACAGTTCCCACGCTTTTTATCTTAAACGTTCACCTTGTAACATTCCCTTTTAGAGAGTTTTTTGGGTACATGTTACGTCATAGCCGCCATGTTGGTTGAATATACAAAGCATTCCTTATAAGCTTTTCTTTTTACATCAACCAACATGACGGCCGTTTCATTGTCATTTAGATCCCTAGGGATTTTTTGGTCATGTTTCCTCGTATGCAAAAGTTTCTAAGTTATCTAGCTTTTTGCAGCGAAATGGAATCGTTTTCCAGACGACCTCGGGCTCCATTCAAAGCTTTTTTGCTGAACGCTTTTTTTGCACAACGTGAGAAGCTTTCAAGAAAGCTTAGCAGAATGTTTCTCAGTGAAGAAGACATCTGTCGCTGAAAATATCCTCAAATGACAGGAAATTGTGTATTGGATTGGAAGTTTTTATCATGAATTAATAAGGGTCACTTTAAAAAAAATGATATGAAGTTTGACAACTTGATAAAATTTTCTAAAAACTATTGAGAAGAAGGCGTCACAGTCAAAATTCTTGTCGCAAAATCTCTTCAAAATATTGTAGTTCAGTCTCATTCGTAATAAATCCAAGATAATACTTATTCTTAATGATGAAAGAGGAACATGCGAACTTCTTTGAGCAAGAGGCGTTGCAGTGTAGTTGTTGTCGAAGCAAAAAGGAAAGAAAAAAAAGAGAAAGAATTTTACAAAATGTTTTTTTCCTTTCTTTCAATATTTCATTCACGACTTCTAGCTACTTTTTTAATTAGATAGCAAATGACAAATTCTGACAGTCGAC